ATATTTTATGAAAAAATATAAAACAAAACTAGAATGGAGAATCAAGGATGTGAGGGCAATATGATGAAAATGTCAGGCTCAATTTAATGTTAAAAATTCACACAAAATCCCAATATGTCTTTTAAGGGAAACTGAGTAAAATGATTCTAATGTTCCTATGGAAGAATAAATGTAAGAAAACTATGAAAAAAATGGAGCCCAATATAGATTTGCCTTTTGATATTAAAATTCACCAAAGAGTATTGTGAGTAAAACAATATGACATCAGCACAAGAATAACAGTGAAATTAGAAAAACCAAATAAATCTGAGGATACACACATAAAGTGTCATTTCAATTCATAAGGATAAAGGACAACTTACTTCATAAATAGTATTGTAATAATTGGCTCTCTATCCAAGAGAAAAAGAAACAAGGCCCCCTACCAAATAACATATACCAAGATAATTTTAATTGTATACAAATCCAAGCAAAATTAAAATAATAAAAATAACAAGAAAGCCTACACATGTATTTGTTGAAACTTGGAGTGGAAAAGATCTTTTTAGGCAGGACAAGAAATTCCAAGAATCATAAACAACATATTTGAACATACAAATATTAAAGATTTTTACCTATCAAAATATTTTATAAATAGTAACAAGATAAATCATAGACTATAAAAATGTGCAGCAAATGTATTGGCAAGTTAATAGGCCTTACAAGACTCCAAATAGAAAATAAGGTATAGGATTTGTACAGGAGACTTATCAGAGCAACACAAAGAGCTAATAGACACATGAAAGTATTAATCTCCACTTTGTGTATGGTCAGAGTAAACCGAAAACAGTAACAACATATTTGTTCGTGGAACCTGTGAGGTTGGCTCCAACACTCACTGTAAGACTAATAAGGGAGATCAGACCTTCTCATATATTGCTGTGGCAATGTGAACTGTATTAACGCTGGAAACCTGAATATCCAACAGGTATTTCTTCATGACCTGCCATGCGTTGCCCTGTTTTGGTGAACAGCACTGAGCAAAACAGACACAAACCACTGCATTCCTGGAATTTACATTTTAGCAGAAAATAATTTGGTAATATCTAGTAACATTTTAAAAATAGCACTTGGGCTGGGGATTTAGCTCAGTGGTTCCACTGCCTGCCTCGTAAGCGCAAGAACCAAAGTTCGATCCCCGGTACCAAAAAAAAAAAAAGACGACAAAAAGAATAGCACTTAACCTTTCATTTAGCAATCATCTCTTGGGGGAATTCAGTCTATGGAAATCAAAACACAAATATGCAAAGATTACATGTACAAAGACAGTTACTCCAGCATTCTTGTACAGGCAGAAAATTTAAAACAACCTGTATGTCCATCAAAAGGGGACTGGTTGACTAAATTATGGTGGGCCTAATTTATGGAAAGTTCTTCAGCTATTAAAGAGCATGAGGCCAGGCATGGTGGTGCACGCCTGTGATCCCAGCACTGAGGAGGCTGAGGCAGGAGAATCTCCATGAGGTCGAGCCCAGCCTGATCTACATAGCGAGACCTTGTCTCAAAAAACCGAGAGCATGACATTGAGCTTGAGCCTACTGTCCTGGAGGAATGGACATAATGTATTGACTTGTCTCATTTTGGCCAAAAACCTGAAGTCTAATCCCCCAAGCCTCCCCTCACTTTTGTATCTATCAATATTTATACAGGTTTGTACATGCATGGAGGGAAGGTCTACAGTCTGTTCACGATGTTTACCTCAAGGAAATTGGCCTGGAGGAAGTATGGGGTGAGATCACTAAGTTTTTATTTATACTATTTTGTATTGTGCAACATTTGTTCCAATAACATGTATTTTGCAACTGAAAAACATCTAATAAAAAAACTCAGGAAAGATATTTTTACTTTCTTCTTTGTATCATATTCTCTCCAGAAAACAACGTGCATTAAAAAATGCTTAAAGGAAAAAAAATGCTTAAAGGCAGGGATGGGGATGTAGCTCAGTGGCACAGCACCTGCCTGGCAAGTGTAAGGTCCTGAGTTCGATCCCCAGTACCAAAAAAAAAAAAATGCTTAAAGGCAACCAATAGATTTGGAAATACACCATGTTTGGTAAGAAAATCACTTGACACAGAACAGAATCAATGCTGTGATTTTAAGTCGGGTAAAAGAATTACATGTATGGACTGAGACTGGGGAACAATCCCTTTAATAAAAGGAACAGGTATTTTGGATGACTACATTTCCAATTTTTGCCACAGATATATGCAATAAAAATGACTTGCAAGATGTCTAACTTTGTATGCTTATAAATTGGTCCTTTAAACTTATATTTTCTGAAGAACCAAAGCATGCTGTCCTGGGAGAAATAGGAACTAAATCTCTGAAAGTCTGTCAAAACCACTACTTCAAGCAGGAGCAGGGAAAATCAGTAGGGGGAAAATGAACACAAATATGCACGAAAGGGGGAAACTCAGGTTTTGCTAGTGTGCTAATGCTAGAGGCTAACGGGGTGAAGTGAACTAACGTTTACTGGATGGTATAAGGGAACTCTTTTCCACCTTCCCATGTCCCAGCCTGTCGGGGCTAAGGAGGATGTTCCATTTCTCTGGTAGGAGGAGCAACTAGTCTCTTTGTAGCTCACAGGAGTGGAAGGTGGACCCCGTGCCTTCAAGTGGCTGCATCAGTCAAGGCCTACCCTGAGGGAAATTGGAGGTAGACTCATTTCAGCCTCTGGGTCTCCCAAATTCAGCTTTACTAGAGTAAGTCACACACTCAGCTGGTGGTTTCTTGTGCCTATTTTCAATGGGGTTAGAGCCCACAGACAAAGACAGGTGTGAGTGAAACCTCCAAAACCTCCAAGAGATGACTTTGCACTTCTTCCACTTATTTCAACGAATCTCATCATACAAAGGGAAATGGGTTCCACACTTAAAGTCAAGCACAAGCATGAAAGACTTTGAGAAGGTAGCCTCTACTGGAAAGCAGAATAATCACTACACAGCTGGTTAACTATGGATCATTTTAGCCAATGTGTTTAGATATTGTTGTGGTCATGAATTCCTAAGTAGGTCTTCAGCAGTAGCATCCTTGTGGCTTTATAACACCAGGTCACTACTATGGCAAATGCTTTGTGTTCACCAATACCATCAAAACAGGTAACTCTGGAGCCAAGTGAATAGGAAAACCAAGTAAAGGAAAATAATCCTTGACTTTGACCTCCAACTTGATGGACTAAGTATTACCATCACAGAGGTCAGAAAATGATTTTTAAACCCAAGTAGGTGCAAAATGCTGTATCTCTATGCAACAGTAATAGCTTCCTTGATCCAAGAAATGCTGAACTAAAGGGGTCATACTACTTCCAGCTTGTAAACTGGGGAATGAATGATCTATATCTCCTTCATTTTCCTGTGCATGTGTGTGCATGTATGCCTTATCTATAGCCAACAATCCACTAGGGTAACTTAAAATAGTAATTTATTTACAATAGCAAAAATGTCAAAAATAACAGGAATTGTAACAAATTCAAGAATTATTTCATGAAAAAGGCAAACAATATATACATGAAACAAAAGATAAAACAAAATTCATAGGACAAATTTTTGACCTTATCTAAAAAGCTGCAGAATGTGGCAATAGGGGTTTTTGGATATGAATTACCCTAAGTAATGCTGGGCCAACTGAATACATATACCCATACACACACACACACACACACACACACACACACACACACACACACTTTTCAGCCCTTTTTCTACTTGCCCAATCTTCCTCTGAATTTTATTTACCTTTGAGGAATGCAACTTTGAGAGGCCACGTTAAGATTTAGGAATAATAGGCTATTTACATACGCACTAAAGGATATACTTAGTAAAAAGCAGGCTCACTTTATAAAGGGTAAACCAAAGGTAGAAACTCCAATTTTACCCTATTTACTTCTGGTTGCTGTTTTTGTGATCTTCTCGTCTACCAGTGTTGCACCAGTAATCTAAAAGTTTCTTAAGTGCTCTAAAATAAGTGTTTTCCAAACTTGATCATAAAACAGAATCACCTAGGGAACAGGTTAAAACACACTGCTGGGCCCCATGCCCAGCTTTTCAATTCGGTGGGTAGTGAGGTGGGGCTGAGAATTTACATCTTTAACCAAGTCCCAGGTGATTACCGTGCTGCCAGACCATACTCTTAAGAACCACTGCTCTGAAATAGTGCCCTCTAAAGATTTGGACCAGTCATGCTTTTCCTTACATGAATCCTAGAATTTGTGGAAAATATAGGAAATTAATACTGAGGTTCCCAGAGATCAGAACAGCACGTTATCTGACTATGATCACAGACTGGCTAGACGTGACATCAGACATTCTATTATAGCTGAGTTTTCAGCATGTTATGGTTTGGCCGGATTTATGGCTCTACAGTGATGTTCTCCACATTCTCTTGATCATTTACCTCATGTTTTGGTTATCTACTATTTGAACTATGAGGCTGACACTTGTTCCTACAGATGAAGAACTGAACTGAATTTGATCCTTAAAATCAAAGATGGCACAAAAATCTGACTCCTGAGAACTTCTGCCCAGCTCCCAAGTTTTTACTGCAACAAATTGACATCCATCATCTAGTATGCTGTTTACTAGATCCCTCCAAACTAGGCACAAAGGGGTAACTCGAGGGCAGGACTTTAGCAATGAAGTAGTGACGTCCCCAATGATTAAATGTGCTGTAGATTCATACTGAAATGAACTTTAAGTGCTCTCAAAACCCACTTTATGCATGGGTAATTTATCTTGGGGGAATTGGAGATGCTAATAAAACAAATGAGGATCAAAAAAAATGAACTTCAAGGACATGTTCATCAAAGGACTCACCAATCACCTAACTTCTCTGAAATATTACTTGCAAATTCACACGACTGAAATATTATCAGTATTTGCATCTGAGTCACAAAATTCAAAGCAATCAAGCATTCTGCATTTCACTGCTGCATAAAAGGAATTAAGAAATGGGGGGGATGAAAATAATCCACTGCTTTTGATGTTTATTAGGTTTACAAAAACTGTACAACTTTTTTTCTTAAGAAAAGCATTAACTTAGTACTGGTATCAAACAGACTAAACATTAACAGGAAAATATTCTGATTTTTATTTTTGCACATTGTTCTCAAGTACACAATTACAATAATGTCACACATCCCTATATGATTTTCTTTTTATGTATTTTACTTTTTTTACAAAGTATACAGAGGGAGGGACATACAATATTTAACAGGATATTTCTACAGAACAATAACTTATATTATGTCCTTGTAAAAATCTGTACCTCTTTAAAACATTTAACTGAAACATCCATTTTTGTTTAGCTTTGCTAATCAAAATTGTTTTAAGAATTAAAACTAGGTTGTAACTAATGTCAGTACATAACAGTGCCTACAATTTTCTCTTTATACAGACAAATATTTTATATTCACTTGACCAAACCCTTAAATACCTTTTAAAGGCTTCAACATTGTGCTTTAAAAAGAAAACTGTGTATGATTCCAAGTTATGCAAAAAGAAATATAAAGTATGTAAAGTGTTGTGTTCTTTATCTTTCAGTTTATTTAAAAAAAATACAGCTAAATGACCCAATCATTTATATTTTCTGAATTTATAGGATGTTTTAAAATTAATAAATTTCTACTTTAAGTGTTTTTACAGTATTTCCAGGAAAATAAAAAGGGAGATTTTTAAGGTTCTCACAAAAAAACAGACAGAGCTTTCAAGACTAGCAGGGCAATGAATCATGGAATTTAAGTTACAAAAAAAAAAAAAAAAAAGCACATTATGGGAGCCAAAAGGACACAGGAATTCCCCTATGTGACAGCCAAGGGAAACCCACACCTTGGTCTGACTGGCATTTGGGCTGAAATTCATACTAGCCTGAAGCACTTGATTTAGAACTAAATTAATCTAGCACTTCAGAGGCTTGCCAAACACCAAATATTTTGATTTCTAACCCTAAAAATATAACTTCTGAATACAAATATTGATGGCAAAGAGAAAGATGAAAGGTAAAAACCTAATGGCACGAAGGGGATGGAGCACCATAACAAGGTGGCAAGGCAGCTATCAAGTGAGAAGAAAATTACTAAATCCCCCTTGATGCGCCAGATACATGTACCAACAGCCAATTCCAGGGACCCCAAAAACTGATTTTTGTTCTTAAAGAGTCATCTTAACATAACCAAATTCTAATTAACCAAGTTCACTATACAAATGTATGACTGATTCAAATCTACATGTTATTAAAAACTGGCAACTCTCAAAGAAAAACAAAAACAGAAAGACTTGGTAAAGTTCCAAATAAGACCTCAGACTTTCCTTCTGCACTTGGAACATACCTTTATCTCCTAATCCAAGCCAACTTGACTGTTAAGTTTCTAAAGTCTGCTAACTGTAACTGTCTAGGAAACAGCAGAGCATGCTGAACTTGCCAAGTGTAAGGCATAATTAGCACCAATTCTCTGGTCCATGGAGCCATCATTACTCTTCGCCCCCTCACTTGGTGAGACAGAGTTCTCTCTCAGCTTTTCCAAGAGAACTGAGGGAGTCACACGTCGACACTCACTAGCTTTTCAGAAAAATATAAAGGCATGGAGCTGAAATTGTATGAAAACATTATATCTAAAAACATCTTAACCTCTTCAATTATTTTTCAATTACCAAAGATATTTAAAAGAAAATACCTTTACTCTTTAAAAATACTAGTGTCCTTATTTCCTTCTTATTCTTCACCTGAGTAGTCTCTCTGAAGAGCATGACTTACAAAATGCTCTCTCATGAATCCCTGGATCTTCCATGTTATTGTAAATTTAATACTTTTTATTATAGATTTTAAACAACTACTACTTGGGGTTGTGTGTATAAATACATAAAATAAGCAATACACACAGGTACATGTTATATATATATGTGTATATATATAATTCAGAGTACATTTACATACATAAAGTTGCAAAAGATCCTATAAGCCACAAGTCACCTCTAGGAGATTCCAAAATGCAGTCCTCGTTAAGTTTCATTTGCAGTACACAACCAACCATTCCAGACAAAGCAGCACAGACAGAATACTCAAATTACAACAGGATCAAGCAAAATTTTCCAATAAGGTTTTCTTAAAAGTTTGCTATGCTGACAAAAGATGTAAATAGTCCAAAGAAAGCATAAAGAAGTATATTCTGTTGCTAAACAAAACGAAAAGTAAACACAAGCCCAGCCACTGCTCCTTGCTCAGCGATGCCAGGGACACAAAAGCTCAAATGGAAACTTCTCTCATTGCATGGTCTGAAAAGACTAAGCAAGACAAGTAAATGACTTCCATGTTATGATCATGAGACCTGACCATAAAATCTCCCACTCATATAAGATTATCTCTGACAATTTTCTTGTGAGAAATTTATGGGGGCAAAACAATGAGTCAACACGAATACTTTCAGAATTACCAATCTAAAGTTACCTTAAGTTAAATGGTCTTAGAAGAGTACCATCAAGGTAAGCAAGGTAAATATTTAAATAAATATAAAACTTCTAAGATAGAAAAATTCAGTATAGAATCAGGGATTACTTTATTAAAAGCAACTAGCTTGTTGCTACTTTTCCCCATTTATTAAACAAACTGGATAGAATTCAGAACACACTACCAAACAAAATGTAAAAAAAAAAAACTAGAAGCAACAATTCTATTTGTACACAGCATAAATCAATATACAGTATTGTAGGTGAACTAGACTGATTGGAAGTATTGTTAGGGCAGGCCAACTTCTTTATGATGCCGCATTATGTGCTGGTTCTTTTCCGAAGGTCTTCGGAACCCTTTCTTGCAGTACTCACACCGGTGAGGATAGTCTTTTGTATGAATGGAAATAACGTGTCGCTTAAAGCCTGAGGCATCTGTAGTGCTATACTCACAGTACTCACACTGATACACTTTCCGGCCACTGTGTGTCTTCATATGCTTTTTAAGCTCATTCTGTTGCCTAAACCCCTTTCTGCATCTCTTACACCTAAATGGAAGGTCCTTTGTGTGAACCGAGAGAATATGACGACTTAGCACAAATGGATCTGCAATCTTAAAGTCACAATGTCTACATTGGTGCATTTTTTTACCCTTGTGGGCAGCCACGTGTTTCTTGAGTTCTGAAGGCCTATGAAAGCCTTTATCACACATGTCACACTTATGGGGGTAGTCCTTCGTGTGAACTGAAATTATATGTCGCTTTAAATCACTTGAGTTCGAACTCTTGTGGTCACAATGCAAACACTGGTGTGTTTTGCTTTCTTGGTGGATAAGAGCATGTTGCTGCACCTCTTTGGTATCTGAGAAAGTCAGAAGACAAATGTCACACTTGAATGGCATCTCTTTACTATGCTTAGTTTTTACATGTGTTTTCAAGTTAGAAGAATCTGCAGATCGATATTCGCAGTACTGGCATTGGTACGGTTTCTCCCCAGTATGGATTCGCATGTGCTTTTTGAGCTCTGATGGGTGACGAAAACCTTTACCACACTCGACACAAATATGAGGAAAGTTCTTGCTGTGGACTGCCAAAAGGTGGCGATTCAATAACCCTTGTTCAGCTGTCTCATATTCACAAAATTTACACTTGTGCATTTTGTTGGCTCCTTTTTCCTTATGCACCATTTTGTGAGTAAACAAAGCCCCAGAGTGAGAGAAATGCTTCCCACACTCATCACATTCGATGGCCTTCTCTGCCTTGCTGGTGAGCTTGTGGCTCTCCAGATGATTGTGTAAACTTATCTTCTTGTTGGTAGTGTAATCACAGTCAGTACAGCGGTATTTCTTCTTGGCAAGGTGTTCAGGATGGTTTTTCATGTGTCTTTTCAAGAAACCTCTCGACTTAAACTTCTTCCCACAGATCATGCAAGGGTACACAGTCAAGGGATGTCCATCAGGGCCAATAATTATTGCTAAGAAAGGACAAGAAAAGAGAGTATAAGGGGTCAAACCAAGTTCTCTTTCAGCTACTTCAAATATTTACTGAGTGTTCTGAACACCACTGGTCAAGGACTTGTAAGTGAGGTTATATGCTATTTAACATTCCTTTTATCATTTTTCCACATAAGAGATACAGCACCATAGTCGTATCAGGAGAGCTTGGTCTGGAAACTTCACTCAGTAGGATTGTACCAACCTCACTCCCTCCAGTTTAACAAAATTAGTGAATAAATATATAACTTCTATTAACTAGTGATTAAAGCCATATCAATTTAGAAATCTGTGGGAAACTGTTCATAAAAGTAAAGCTTTGTAATAAAAATTCCTGCTTTGGTTATTAAAAAACATTATTTATGTTAAATATATCCATAAAAATTTTTAATATGCAAATCTGTATGCAAGAATAGACAGAAGTATGTCAGATGTGCTGCAGTACTTATCCTGCTGCTCTGTAAATTATGTCTGCTTCATGCTAATATAATTAGATTCTTTAAATATATTTATTTAAAGTTAATGCTTGTAACATATTTGAGGAATTCCTTTTCATTTCCACATAAAAAACATCCAAGTTTTGAATTTTTTCATCCCTATTTGATCTATTTCCTGTTCCTTTTTCATCCAAGGAAATCATTCATGAATATCACTGAATTCTGAAAATTTTATTTCCAAATTCAATATACAAAAGCTACATGAGGTCTAGCAGCTAAAACGTCATTGTGACACCCCTGTGGATACACACTAGTTTCTCTGAGAGCTCGCACAGCATGCAGCACCATGGAACTTGTGCACCCTCACCTGTTTGGTACTGCCTTGAATCAGGTCTTCTCCTTTTCTTTGGTTTTTGTTTAGCCAGTCTGCCGAGGCCAGCAGACTCATCTATGTGCAAAAGGGCACTTGCAGTGCCATTCCGGTTTTCAATTCCATCAGAATTATTACCTAACAATATGCATTAAAAAACAAAATTATACAGTATTATAAATGATAAAGTTAGGAATTCTTTTATTAACTATGACAACGAAAAAAGTAGGCCATGATACTCATGAATGACAGAAACTCCCCATTATAGGTAATGGGTTTTATGAACACATTTATTATGGCGGGACACTAGGAAATGTCTAGTTTCCAAAGCTAAAAACAAAGGTCAGCATTTTCCCCGTGGGCTCCCTTGTCTCCCAAAACTGTAAAGTCACGGGCTAGATATAATCAGATGAAAAGTTTCAGTTTGAAAGCCTGTGTACTTCTTGCAGTACTTCCTTCTACATAATATACACATGAAGGAAATTCCTGCTAAAAATAAAGACAAAAGGTAGACTTTATAATCTTCCTCTACTCTTGTTTAAATAAAATAATCCGTATAGGGTGCTGGTATTTCAGATTTCTGAAACCTAAGACCACAGTGTTTTTAAATCATGATCTCATGCCCAAAAGCCAATTCAACCGATTCTAAGATCTGCTCTGTGACTTACCATAAGCTGCTGCCCAAGCGATCGGCATGAAGGTTTTGATTTCACTGTCATCCATCTGCTGTTCATGCACAGCTGCTGCTGCCGCTGCTGCTGCTGCAGCATCCTCCTCTCCTACAATCACTTCCATGTAGACTTCATCGGCGATTTCAGCGACATCTAAGTAGAAAATTATAAAAACTTTTCTCATCAGGTTTATAGCGATTAAAGGAAATACATTTTATTTGAATTCAGTTAATAAACAAATAGAAAGTCCAAATATTATGTACCTAGAACATAGCTTTTGGATAGTAAGCACTCAAATGAATCGTACAATTCTTGGCTTTCACCAATTTGGTTTTAAAGCAACATTTTAAACATACATAAAGAACCACTGATGTTTCCCTCTGAATATGGCAGTGCAATAATCTCTAAACAATGCTACTTGTTTCTTTCAAATACTGGCCATTTAAAAAAAGAAAGCCCTAAAATGTACCAATAAAAGGATATACAAAAAAAAAAAAAGAGAGAGAAAGAGCTATGGACACAAAATTTTCACCCACAAAAAGGCCACCTACTTACTTAAATCTTCATCTTCTTGCTGAGAGTCATTGACAGTCATATAAACCATCTTTTCTCGAGGAACACGAATACTGTTGTTCTGATCAAGTAGCTCAACTGCATGATCATTCTCAGGTTCACTCTCCACAATGTCTACAGTTCCACCTATAAGGGAAAAGGCAGGTCCAAAGGTTTATTTGAAAACTTCATTTCCACCTTTTTGTACTTTTTAAAAAATTACTTTTTATGTAGTTTTCAGTTACATTAGAATTCTTGCTTAAAAGTTACCTTCAGAAAATATTTCAAATGCTGTCAATCTAAACAACACAGAAGCAACCACACTGAAGCATTTGATCAGGATATACAGAGTGTGCTAAGGCTTTTTCTTACCTAAGTCATCTTCTCCGGGGTCAGCTTTAAAAATGTACACCTTGATGACTTCAGGACAATTGCCATCCACTTTACAAGGATCAATTTCTGACTCTGCATCCATGGTTATTCCAGATGAACCATCGTGTTCTATTTTGCCAGCATCATCCACTGAACAGGGAGGAAATACATCACAAATAATAGAGGATACTTACATAAAATGTTACTGTTTTCTGAAGTCTTTTTTATAACTTAATCTCTAATATGATACACCAAAAAATTGGATAGTTTTACCTAGACAACTAGAAGGTTCAATAAAGACAGTTCTAAAGACATCTGAAAATGGGGATCAGGTACTAACACAAAAAATAAAACACACAGAGAAAACTACTGGTAACCTAGAAAACTGTTACATTTACTGTGCCAAGTCATAGGTAAAAACATTCCTATATTAAAGATAATGATTTTTTTAAAAAATGGCTGGTGAGGCTGTGGGAAAAATAGAACCCTTCTAAAATTGTTGTTGAGAATGTGAACTAGTACAACTACTATGGAAATTAGTATGAAGATTCCTCAAAAAAGAAAAGAAAAACAAATTCCATTCGACCCAACTATTCTACTTCTAGGTATCTTTCCCAAAGAGTTAAAAAGACATTATATTATGATAATACATGCATACCCACGTTTACAGCAGCATAACTCATAATAGCTAAATCTTGGAAGCAGCCTATATGTCCATCAACAGATGAATGAAGAAAATATGGTATTCACACAATCGAATACTACTCTACCATAAAGGAGGATACATCTGAGTCACCTGTAGGAAGATGGATATACCTTGACACAATAATGTTAAGTGAAATAAACATTAAGTTTAAATATCGCATTGTTTCTCTTATACGAAAAACCTAAACCATAAGTAATTTAAAGAGCAAAATAAAAGATAATAGGAAACAGGGAGATAGACCTTTTGCAAATGGAAAGAGAACCAAGAGATGGGGGTGGGATTAAAATGTGTCACAGGCGGGCATGGTGGCGTACACCTGTAATCTCAGCACTTGGGAGGCTGAGGCAGGAAGATCATGAAGAGTTTGAGACCAGCTTGGGCTACATAGTGAGTTCAAAGCCAGCCTGAACTACAGCGTGAGAACCTGTCTCAAAAACAAAAAAAGATGTGTTATATACACGTACTAATTCTCCACAATGAATGTACTCATAATGTATTGCAAACATGCACTAATGAATCAATTTTAAAAATATTTATATGCACTACTTCACAGTTACTATTCTTGAATATCATCTGATCTAATCTATTTCCACCAGAATAATATACTTAAAAATAATCAAAACATGATTGCTAGAGGGGTGTATTGGAAGGAGATGACCAATAGAAATTCTAACTCAATATGCTTCAACTTAAAACTGTACAAACATATTGGGGCCAGGGATTTAGCTCAGTGGCACAGTACCTGTCTGGCAAGCGTGAGGTCCTGAGTTCGATCCCTGGTATCAAAAAACAAACAAAAGTATACAAACATACGATTTTATATACATCTATACACACAACTTTAGTTTATGACAGTAATTAGTCTAGGTCCTTGATGGAAAAAGGTAGCAATGTGAGAATTCAAACATATTCATATACCCATTGTCCTACTTAATAGCTTTGTTTAAAAAGAGAAAGAAAAGAAAACAGAGGTACATATGATTTCCAGTAGCAGAAACATTGCATTTGGGGGGCGGGGGGAGTGCCGGGGATCAAACTCAGGTCCTTGTAGTTGTGAGGCAGGCAGCAGAACCACTGAGATAAATCTCCAGCCCTTTTTTTTTCCGGTACCTGGGATCAAACTCGGGACCTTGCACTTGCGAGGCAGGCGGCGGAACCACTGAGCTAAATCCCTGGCCCGTGTTTTCTAAAACTTTATACAAGTAGCTAAGGAAATAAGTATACTATTATGGATAAGACCTGGAAAATAAAAACACTGGAAAAATAATGTCTTAAAAAAACAAACTCTGGAGCTGAGTAAAGACCAAATATATAATCCTCATCATTTATGAGCATCTCTAGCACAACAGAAAGTATGGGAAAAAGTAATGAAAACTTAGCACCGAGGACAATTTATAACAAAAGTTAGACTCATGAACACTGAGTTTATTAAAAGAACACTGAAGGGGGCTGGGGATTTAGCTCAGTAGCACCACGCCTGCCTCACAAGCACAAGGTCCTGAGTTTGATCCTCAGTACAAATAAACAAACACTGCAGGAATGTTCTCTCCACTCTAGGCCCTGCTGGCCTACCTAGCACAGCTGAGACCAAGCAGAGAGGAAGAGGGTCAACGGCCAGAAAGGAAAGCTCCTTTAGCCTATCTTCAGTACCTGCAACACGCCTTTGCATTTTCCTTTTTCCCTTTTAGTTCCCTTTCTGGTGTCCTTCTGCTGGATATATTTGTTTTCCTTTTGGCTAGATGTTTATTTAATTCACAAACACTGAATCACAACTATATATAATAGACTTTATGTTAGATACTGGAGATAAAAAAATAAGAAAAATGTATTCCAGAAGCTTGCTATCTTGTGGGAAGGCCTAAGTAGACAATTATTCTTAAACGTAGTAAGAACACAGCTACCATTTACTAAGTAACCAAAGTAATATTTAATACAACCCTATGAAGGAGGTGATATTGTGTTATCGACATTTTACAATAGAGCAAAGATTAGAGAGGTTGAATAACTTATTTCGAGACACAGAATTCAAATCTCAAGCCACATTAATCCTGGTTTGTCAACTTCTGGAGTTTAGAAAATAAAATGGAAATAAACTGGCAGAGGCAAAGGTGATTTTTGAAAAATCAATGAACAGTTCAACTATCTAAAGATGCTTTCTTTTAGTGAAAATCAGATGAATGGGCTCATGACTCAGGCAGGCTGAGTCAGTATTGCAATCAGGGCCGGGGGGTGGTGATTTTCACCACTATAACATCTTAAATTCATAGTCATCTGTTGTGCAATTTATACTCATTAAGCCAAGACAGAACCGAGATTTCAACACCTTTGAAATGATACTTCTGCAAAGTCCTGTTGTGCTCTCAATCAGATCCAAAAACTGCACTTATCTAATCAAAATTCCTACATAGAACATCAAGATGATGAATCCAGTATCTTAAAAGCCAGCATCAAAAAGCAAAAATACAGTAGTAATTTATCAACCTGGCTTCTGACTTCCTGAGAATCAAGACCATCCACATCACAAATAAATTACAAAGAATCACTAGCAAACAGCATCCCCAAACCTTTCTTATGTGTCATTTACAAACATAAAAATTGTAAAATTTAATCAGCTGGCTTCAAATGCAAAGAGCCAGGAAGTCAAAGCCCTGGGCCACTGAAAGTAGTAATTTTAGTCTATTTCTGACACCATAACATCATTAAATAGAAAGCTATATTTTAATACACATTTGGTTTCAAAAAACCAAACATGTCAGTTAAAAATGCACTTGTTAAGTGTTACAGCTCTTTTAGAATTTGTTTAGCAGGTCAAAAAAAAATGCACTTGTTGATAACTCATACTTTTACTAAGTATTCATACTAAGTTAAAATGAAGGTCGCTTATGAAGAAAAAGCAACATCTTATTTATACACAAGATGATATTAAAGCTGAACTCTCTAATGCAATCTTTAATAATAATTGATACAGAACATGGAAAAGGATTAGAGCCAGAAATGACTGGCCAATGTCACACTGTGCACTGATAGCTGCCACGGAAACAAGGAAAGGACATCTCATTCAGGCTGACAAAAGACGCACTGATTTTAGGTATAGAATACAGCAAGGACAAAAGTAGAGAGGAGAAATGGCATGATGCTGTTGGCCGTGGTGACACACGCCTGTAATTCCAGCACTTGGGAAGCTAAGGCAGGAGGCTCACTCAAGGCCAGCCTGAAATACATAGTGAGACTCTGCCTTTAAAAAGAAAAACAGAGAAAAGAAAAATAAAAGAATGGCATGATGCTAAGGGAACATACCCTTCAATACTGCTGGGGCTGAAGGTAAAACATGCCACAGAGCATGGTGAGAAACACAGCAAGCTGCTAAGGCAAAGCCAGGTCACAGAGGGCCTGGTGCACCTGGCAGAGAAGCTTAGACTTGATCCTGGAAGGCTAGAAACCTCTCAAGCTGGTCAGGCATCAAAATCCCTTGGGGGTACTCTAAAAAAGAGCAGTTTTACAGAATCAGAATGGGGAGGGGCTGATATATACAGGTGGATTTAGAGGCACCCTGTCCCTAGGATTTTGACCAGAGAGGCTTGAGAATATCTGCTGCAGGTGATGAGAGACTTTTAAGCAGTAGGTGATGGGCAATGACAAGGTTCAATGCCCATTTTTGCTATACCACTCTGCTTGTCTTGGAAAGATAGATACAAAGGGATTAAAGACATGAAGCAGGGAGACCACTTATGTATCTGCTGCAGTAACGTGTTAGTGACAGATGATAAGACCTTGAATCAGGACAGAAATAGTATGAATGGGCAAGAAGATTGGTCTTGAGGCCGATCTTGGGACTCAAATGAACAGGGCCTGGTGCGCAACTGAAAACGATGTGACAAAGGAGCCAGGGATAACAGGGGGTTTTGATCTAGGAGGCTGAGTGACTGGGGTAAAAAATGTAAGAGAGATGAGGAAAAAGACCTCTCTTCTTCCTGAATGCTTATTTACTTTAAGATCCCAAGGATATCACCCCCAAAAGCTATCAGAGCCAGTGCACAGCCCTACCACTCTGTCCTCTCAGTACCCTTGCTTGCTTCTCTCAAAGTACGTGACTCACCATGCTACTATCTGTTTTTCCCTCCATCTTTACCAACTGATAACCACAGAATCTGTATTTTCATTACCTGGTCTTCTAAGACAGAGCATGGCAATAGCAGATGCTCAGAATATTAATGGTTCCATAAATGACTGAGATATGAATATTTGAGTCTGGAAGCTAAAGGTTGACACACAGATTTGGGAGCCATCAGCTCTGTGTTAACTAAGCCTTGTGATCACTTACACACAATCTGCAGTATGAAGAAAGTGGGGGCTGAGGATAGAGTCCTGCGGAAGCCATAGTTTAGGGAGGGACTTTCTTTCACAAAGGAAGATGAGACGGAAAAGCTGGAGAGGTTGGTGGAAG